GCAGTCTCCCTCCATCCCTCCATCCTCGCATCTCGCCATCCCTCCCCCCCCTCCATCCCTCCATCCCTCCATCCTCCCATCTCGGCATCCTTCCCTCCCCCGCGTCCATTTCCTCCATCCCCCCATCTCCCCATCCCTCCCCCTCGTCCATCCCTCCATCCTCCCATCTCGCCATCCCTCCCCCTCTCCATCCATCCATTCGTCCATCCATCCATCCATTCGTCCATCCATCCATCCATCTTTTTCTTCTTCTTCTTTTTCTTCTTCTTCTTCTTCTTGGACGTTGTTAAACAGTCTCCTTCCATCCTCCCATCTCGCCATTCCTCCCCCCTTCCATCCATCCATCCATTCATCTTCTTATTCTTCTTCTAGTTCTTCTTCGACATTGGTTAGCAGCCTTCCTCCATCCCTCGATTCTCCCATCTCGCCATCCCTCCCGCCTCGCTCCATCCATCCATCTTCTTCTTTTTCTTGGATGTCTCCCTTCATCCATCCATCCTCCCATCTTGCTGTCCCTCCCTCCCTCCCTCCATCCATCCATTCATCAATCCATCTTCTTCTTCTTCTTCTTCAACATTGTTAAGTTGCAGGGCGAGAATTGAGGCTACAGGGAGGAGGTGGTTGCAGCACCATGGCTGGTGGGAGCAATGCATGGGGTGCGATTGGTGGACAAGGAAGTCGGAGGCAATTTGAAAGACAAGAGGGCAGCAGGAAGGACATCGCGAGCTTAAGTACACCTTCGTCGGCGGTGACTTCTACAGAACCCACAACGACTATTGACCCCTCGTTGTTCGTCCCACAACCTGAAGGGAGGCAAAAGAAGCTGCAGGGCGAGAAGGAGATATGGAAGCACGTGGAACAAGGGCATCAGGCTGTGCCGAAGGGCCGGAGAGAGTACTCGCTGAGGTGTCGGCTATGCTCGACCATTTGGAGGGGCACGAGCACACGAGCAGTTCAGCACTTCATGAAGATGTTCAAGTCGTGCCCTTTTCGGATTGGGAGATTGTGCATAAGTTGGTGGCCCAAGGGCAAAGGTACTGCCAAGCGACAGGAAGCCTCGCTACCTATTGCAAAATTACCAGCAGTTGCACAACATGTCGGAGGGGAGGACTGCAGCAAACGACGATGATGCGGACGCCGTTGTTCGTCATGGTTACGCCGGTTGTTGCAGGGAGGGACGGTCGAGGCGATGGCGCAGCCATGAAAGGAAAAGTGCAATGGGGAAGGCGCTGCGAGACGAGTGTGATTCCACCACAAGGGCGGCTTCGGTGCAGCAAACGACCATCACGAGATGGGTGAACAACGCAGCTCAAAAGAAGTTGGACATTGGATGGGCGGAAGCAATGTTCCACGCGGGAATCGCGTTCAATTTTTCGAACTTGACACCACTCTCAAACTGCACGAGGTGTATTTGGAGGTGGCTAGCGCACAACCAAAGGTGAAATTGCCTTTTGCGAAGCAAATCCGAACTATGATGCTCGACTTTATCTTTTTGCGCATTCAAAAGCAAGTGCAGCCTCTGACTGCATGGTGGGATGTCACGGGTTGTACTTTCATCACGGACGGGTTGACCGATCAAAGGGAAAGGCCTGTCATGAATTTCTTGGCAGTGGAGGAGCAGGGAGCGGTCCTAGTGGCAATGGTGTCGATGGGTGGAAAGAAGAAGATTGGACCAGCGCACAAGTGAGGTCGGGCTGCAACGCATCAATGCAATTTGCACCGACAATGCGGAGGTGAACAAGAAGGCCACGGAGATTTTGGAGCGGCGCACGGACTTGGCAGTTTCACAGATACCTTGGGTTCCGTGTGCTGCGCATTGCTGCAGCTTGCTGCTACGGTACATCAGCAAGCTGGATTGGAACAAGGGCACGGTGAAGCGAAGCCACAACATTGTGAAGTTTATACGGAACCAACACTGCACACAGAGCCTAATGATGTCGTTGGACGACTCATGATCGTTTGTTGCAACCGACCGATGTCCGTTTTGGGTCGGTTTACATGATGATGGAGCAGTTGTACAATCAGAGCAGTCCGTTTTGGCACGGTGAAGCCGATGGTTGAAGGGAGCCTAGTCGGGAGATGGAAGGTGATGTGGTGGTCAACGACCAAGCTGCAGTCCAAAGTGGATCTTGTCTTCTTCACATTGCGGAAGGAGGGTTGGTGGCCGGAGTTGAAGAAGGTGGTGGAGGTGATGGAGCCATTCTATGTCTTGCTTCGGAGGATGGACAAGGACGGGACTGGCCCGTCAAACCTTGTGGAGTATGACTAGACAAATGGAGAGGATGCTGGCAGAGGTCGTGCCGACGGAGGAGCAGCGACGTACTTTTTGAGGGACCGCATAAAGATGATGCAGCAACACGAACACGCCTTGGCTTTTCTTCTCGACCCATAGAGGAGAGAGCCAAAGTGGTTGTTGGACCGGGACAGCGCACTTGTGCAGAATGCGCTGCGTTATTTGCAGCGGCAAATCGGCAGTACTTGGAAATCAAACGCCCACGTGCAGATTCTCAACGACCTGCGAGAGTTCCACAAGAAACCCACAGGGTACAACCCCTGGCGGAAGGACTCGAAGATGTGGGATGGTGGTGCGGCCACAGATTCTAACACCATCTCGTTGTTGGAGTGGTGGGCAACTCATGGCGGCGATGTGTTGGAGCTGCAGGCCATTGTCATGAAAGTAATGGGCATGTGGAGCACGGCGACTCCGGCGGAGCGGAATTGGTCTTCGATGGACTTGGTCCACTCGAAGCAGCAGAATCGATTGAACCCCTGAACCTTGGAGAAGTTGGTGTATATTCATTGGAATATGCAGCTGCTGCAGTCCGGGAAGAACTTGGAAGGACCATGTGCATATTCTTAACGACCTGTGAGAGTTCCAGAAGAAACCCACAGGGTACAACCCCCGGCGGAAGGACTCGAAGATGTGGGATGGTGGTGCGGTCGCAGATTCTAACACCATCTCGATGTTGGAGTGGTGGGCAACTCATGGCGGCGATGTGCTGGAGCTGCAGGCCATTGCCATGAAAGTAATGGGCATGTGGAGCACGGCGACTCCGACGGAGCGGAATTGGTCTTCGATGGACTTGGTCCACTCGAAGCGGCAGAATCGGTTGAACCCCTGAACCTTGGAGAAGTTGGTGTATATTCATTGGAATATGCAACTGCTGCAGTCCGGGAAGAACTTGAAGGACCACGGCTACATCGACTTGTGGGCGCAGTTCTTCGAGTCTCTTCCGAAGCCTGAGGTGGACGATGGTTCTATTTTGAAGGACCCTGTGGAGGAGAAGGCCAACACAGAGGAAGAGCTGGGGCGGGAACGGGCCTTCATCAAGACACCGAAGGGCTGGATTCCAAAGAGCCTCGAAGATGAGGAGGAGTGCACCGACGACAGTGACCTTGACGACGAGATGTGGTACGGGATGGTCGGAAGCGTCTAGCGAAGGGGAGGTTGATGAGTCATCGGACAATGAGTTTGAGTTGGGAATCCCGCCATTAATCCCGTGGACCACATATGTTGGGAGGAGGTAAGTAGCACAGCGTCGTCGAGAACGGCTGCCCACAACACCGTCTCAATGCACGACAAACACCACAGCGCATTGCGACATCCGATAGCTACCACAGACCGACACCGACATGGAGATGGTGCTTCGGACCGGTCCAATCAATACAAATGAGGAGGAGGCCGATCGTGCAAAGGCACGGGCTGATGCGGATCAAGAATGGGTGCAAAGGAGAATGAGGGAGGAGGAGGAGCGACGCGCAGCTATACCAACCCGCAGAGAATTGGAGAAACTCAAGAAGAAGGTTGGAGAGCGAGAATCGGAGCCAGTGGGGGTATGGGCCGTCCAAAGGAGGAGAAAGAAGAGGCGATGGGCCAGAGGCAGAACACGAGACTGGCCAGCCAGGGAAGGAAGAAGAAAAGATGGAGCAAGAGGAGGAAGAAGAAAAGGCTGGCATGGTGCAGCGAGAGGAGGAGATGGAACAGGAGGAAGGGGAGGGCACGAAACAGCAAGAAGAGGAGCTGGAGGAGAGTAAGAAGGAGCAGCAGCAGGAAAAGACGGAGAACAGCAAGGAGGAGCAGCAGCAGCAAGCACCGACTACCGTGTACAGGCGTCGGAAGCAAATTGTGGAGGCTGCTGGGTCACCGGAGAATTCCCCCGACTTCCCAGCCAACAAAGCGGAAGCCCCTTGGGAGGAAGAGGAAGGCGCCCCGTGAGGACGAACGGCCAAACTTCCACGTGGCAGGCCAACGTGACCGCCGGTCCGGCTGCAAAGCCAAAAAAAAAAAAAAACAGCGGTGCAAGCCTCGCAAACAAATTGTTGAGGATGACCCCGAATCCGACAACTGCAGCGAGCAGTTTGCCGAACACGAGGTTGACACCGCTGAATGAGATGGTGTGTTCGTATGTTGTGTGTGTGTGTGTGTGTGTGTGTTTGTGTGTGTGTGTGTGTGTGTGTGTGTGTGTGTGTGTGTGTGTGTGTGTGTGTGTGT